GATGTGAGAAGACTCTAATATTAAAAAGTTTAGTTTTTATTAAATAATTAACATTATAAAATTTAAAATAATTTAAATTATATAATATATATTTTTTTTTTTTTTTGTCTGTTTATGAATTTTGGAATTCAGACACTGGGGTGATGAGTGGAGCTGTGATCTACATTCAAAAAGAACTCAAAATCAGCGAGACTCAGGTGGAAGTACTAATGGGCATAATCAACTTGCATTCCTTAATCGGCTCCTTGGCTGCTGGAAGAATCTCGGACTGGCTTGGTCGGCGGTACACTGTCATGATTTCAGGTGCCATTTTCTTCGTTGGAGCTCTTCTCACGGTGATTGCTACCAACTATGCTTTCCTCATGGTGGGTCGATTCGTGGCCGGTATCGGCGTCGGTTTCGCCCTCACAATTGCTTCCGTGTACACTGCCGAGCTTGCTCCGGCATTAAGCCGCGGCTTCCTCGCCTCATTTCCCGACGTTTGTCATCTTTTAATTTGTTTTTTGGTTTAGTAACCGTTCAGCCCCTCAGCATAAGTATCTATTTCATCTGTTTGCAGTTGTTCATCAACGTCGGATTGTTACTCGGATATACATCCAATTATGCATTCTCGGGGCTTCCGACACACTTGGCCTGGCGGATGATGGTTGGAGTGGGTGCAATCCCCGCCGCGGCCTTGATAATTGGTATCCTCTTCATGCCAGAGTCGCCACGGTGGCTGGTCATACGGGGCCACCTCGGCGAGGCGAGGAAAGTCCTGAACAAGGTCTGCGAATCCAATGAAGAAGCTCAAAACCGTCTCAGCGACATTAAAGAAGTTGTCGGAATCCCTCAAGACTGTAACGACGACATTGTTCGGGTTACAAAAAGCAACCACAGCAAAGGCATCTGGAAAGAGCTATTCGTCCACCCCACTGCCTCCGTCCGACATATTTTAATAGCCGCCCTTGGAATCCGCTTTTTCAACGAAGCCTGCGGCCTAGACTCAATCGTCCTCTACGGCCCCAGAATCTTCGGGAAGGCCGGAATTGCATCAGCAAGGCACCAACTACTGGCCACCATCACCGTCGGAGTGGTGAAGACCGCTCTAGTTTTTGTTTCCATGTTCCTTCTGGATCGGGTGGGACGGTGGCCATTGCTCCTCAGCAGCGTCGCTGCAATGGCAATTTCGTTGGTCACCCTGGCGACGACGTTCACCGTAATCGACGGCTCAGAGAAAAAGCTGTCGTGGGCACCGGTGTTATGCATCGTGGCGACTCTGTCATACGTTGGTTCGTTTTCAAGCGGACTGGGACCAATTACGTGGGTGTACAACTCGGAGATCTTCCCGTTGAGGCTCCGTGCGCTAGGGGCGAGTGTGGGACTGGCGGTGGAAAAGGTGACGGATGGGATTATAGCCATGGCATTCATTTCGCTGTGCAAAGCCATAACGATGGGCGGCCTGTTCTTCCTGTTTGCCGGAGTTACGACGGTGTCGTGGATTTTCTTTTACACGGTCTTACCGGAAACTCAGGGGAGGACGTTGGAGGAGACGGAGGGGCTGTTTGGCAAATTCAACTGAAGGCGGGGTTGACGGTGACGGTGACGGTAACGGTAATGGTGGATTCCGTTAGGAAATGCATGAAAAAGGAGTGACTTTTTTTTTTTTTTGTTTTTTGGAACTGAAGTTAAATGAGAAAGTAGTGACGTTTAGGGAAAGGAATGAAAAGGAAATGAAATGAAAATCCTTTGTTATCCTTTGAGTCTCAACTATTGAATTCACATGCTGTAAATTGGTATTTGGTCATAAAAAAAATTTATTTTACAATTTAATCTATGTTTAATGCAGAGTACAATGAATTCAACCATTTGAATGTACATGCTGTAAAGTTTTTTTTTTTTTTATCTGGAAAACTATATTCATATTTTATTCCATAAAAACAGAGAAAGCATGAGAGACTCAATTACACGTTATTCATCCTCGTTATTCATCATTTATCAAACCTAAAACAAATTCTGGAGCCTCTTGGAACCAGTACTCATCCTCATTAATCGTTGCAGCTCGCCTTGCCAGTTCATGGGCCACCCCATTCCCTTCTCTTCTCACATGCTGTGTTTTAACTCCTCAAACTGGTTAATCAAGTCCATACAGTCCAGTATAACTCCACCTAATTCTGTATTCATAACCTGGCCGTTGGACTGAACCCAAGTTACAATTCCTGCACAATCACATTCCACCTGATCCTTCTAAAACCCATCTCCTGTGCCCATTGTAAAGCTCTCCTCGATCTATAAGCCTCCATATTTTCTGCAGACAATAAACCATGTCCTTTGCAGGACATAGCTGCCAACACATTCCCACCATGGTCTCGGATGATGGCTCCCATTCCAAAAGAGCCATCTTGCACAAACATTGCCCCATCAACATTTAATTTATACCCCATCATTATCTGAAAACTAATTTCTTAGAGGAACAAAAAACTATAGTATTATATTTAATTGATAATACCAAAAATTGTTTGGCTAACATAGTATTAACTTAAAAATTTTAATTTAAAATTTAAATTAAAAGTTTAAATATTTACAATACCCAATAACTAACTTCTCTCATGTTACAAAAAAAAAAAGGATAAAACAAGTTTTTTTTTTGGTTCCCCATCCGGTATCCGGGGCTTCGCCCCGACTACTCCGGACTCGACCAGCTGTGACGCACCAAAATGGTGGGTGGGTCTCCCAACGAAGATTGCTGCGTACACAAGGTCTCGAACTCGAGATCTTGCTTAAGTTAGAACAAACCGCTTGCCACTTGATCCAACCCTTCGTTGATAGGATAAAACAAGTTGATACATGGTTTGTGTCGTTCTCCATCCGTTCTAAGATGCTGAATACATCATTAATAAAATGGGAATTACAAACTGCATTTTAACAGAAGTAATGAAGAATTCCACAGCTTGGGTACAACAAACAACTCTTAATTTTACTCGATCCTCCTCAATATTGACTACACGATTCCCGTTTCTAGAATTCCCAAGGAAAAATTGCGACTAGATAAAAAAAAATAAAAAAATAATAGAGGAAGAAGAGAGAATTACATACAAAAGTGTACACTTGAAATGAGCTTTCCTGGATTCTCTTCTACTTCTCGATGCCTTGCTGAAGATACTGTATCAAGTCATAGCCGGCAGTTGTCCACTTGTTGTATGCATCCGTGCAGACCCGGATCATGAAATTGGCAGCCTCACGCTCACTCATCTCAGGATGGAATCTCTTCCGAAGATTTCCCATAGGATCACCCCTGCTGAAGCAAGGCAATCCACTGTCAAGCATCAGCAAAACCGTATTGATGATTCCGTTCATGTGACGGCGGGCAGCAAGGTATCCCTTCACGCATAAGCTGTGCAGATATTCGATAAAGAACAAATTAAACCAACTCCGGTAAAGAGAAAAGAGATTGCAAATGTGAATATAGAAAGAAATCAACCAGAAAGCATTACCTGACAAACTGGTTCCAGGTATCACTCTTCATAACACCTGATGGGTCAAGTAATTGAGTCATCTCATGGCTCAACTTGAAGTGTGCGCTCTCAAACCGCAAATTTCCACCAGGTGAAATTTCAAAGATGAAACCAAAATCAATGTGAACAAGCCTCCCCGCACTGCATTAAGATGCATATTACAGTTACTGCATTTTCTACAATTTCACTTATTCTACCGTTAAACATATTAAGAAAAAATAAACAAGGGACTGCTGATAGGATATTCAGGTCCCCTGACATCATTTAAACGTTTTTGTTTTTGTAGACAAATTAAATAGTTTGTTAAACCCTCTGCCTATATTGAAGTTGACAATTTTAAATTTCTACAGTGAAGAATATGAATAGCACTATCTTACCTGTCAAAAAGAAGATTGCCATTATGTCTGTCCTTTGGTTGAAGTAGAAGGCTGGCCACTGCATACCCAGCACTGCTAATTATAAAATTTTCACGTGCAGCTTCAAAACTAGGAGAGCCAACAGGTCCATACTCTTGTTGAAAAATTTCATACAAACCACCATCATTTGTTTCACCCATCTGAGTTCTGCTTCTTGTATTAGGTACAACCTGCATTGGCAAGAAGGCTTATTAGCACTTAAGAGCATCTTTTCTGCTGTTTAGATTCTTAATAGCAACATGATGCGAGGAAAAAATGGCATCTTAGTAATTCAAGTTGAGCTATCATCCTGCAACTAAGGCACATTTTTATAGAGGAAACCAAATGAAATTACATACAAGATTTCCTAAATTATCCTCTAGCCTTGCAAAATCATCTTAGGAGTCACGGGTAGGTGTACTACAAAGAATATTGAGATGGCAACAATATACCAAAAGAGCATATTACATCCCTAACTACAGTACTGTCAGGAGACCAATTGGCTAATTTCAGTTTTTGGCATCACCAGTTTTTAAAATTGATGTTAAGAAAAAGTTGCTGATGTCCCCACATCAAAAAAAGGCATATGATAACAAACATTTTGGTTTTTGGAAAATGGTGAAACTTCGATCTTAATGAATGCAGATTTCCATGCTAAATACAAATAGCAGTACAACACTAAATATGTGAAGTACTAAATAGTAGATACAATATAAGTTTTGTACATTAATTTACAACAAAAGATTTGTAACTGCTGCAACTCTACTGTCCAAAGCATCAAACATGGAATACCCACATAAGTTTGGAAGTGAGCAGAATAACTGTAACTCTGCTGTACATTTCAGCAAGTGATGGGTGCTCAAATGGTTACTGTCTTCGTTTTATTTAATTAATGAACCAATTAATATATATGGTTAAGTAATGATTTTAATATTAGTAATAATCTTGATTAACAGCATGGTTGAAAGAGTAACTTTAATGTGACATTGGGTTATTTGAGCTATTTAACTTGGAGGGCTCAATTGTCCCTAAAATAGTAGGTCATATTTGAGAATTTGAGACAAGATTAGAGGCTAAAAGGGATTTTGCTTCCCAAAGAAAAAGTAGGTATTAAATACATCTCAGTCTTAATGTCCTCAAGAAGACACTAAACCAGAGCAGAAAACAAAGACAAGATAACCATTCTTGCAAGGTGATCAAATAATGGAAATTCAAAAGTCACCAGCAGTCACATTTTCAAGCTGAGACATCCAAGAATGATACACCATATATAGGGAAGAAAGACTAACCTCAATTATACCTCTCTCTAGACCAGTTGGTAGAACACCATAGGGTAACAAGTAGAGATTAAGTCCGATTGCTTCAAATATGTCTCTCAAAAGTGCTATTACTTGAAGAGCAAGAACATCTTGTCGGCAATCATCTCCAACCTTGAATAAAACAAAATTCAGTTACATTAGGGGAAAACATCCCATAATTATGAAAAAAATAACAATCAGTACAGTCAGGAAATAATATATTTTGCAACTCAAAACATGCAGAAGCACATAAATCCAAAAACTAAAGGGAACCAGACAGCATGAGAGCAATCTCACTAAAGAGTAGTACTAGCTAAACAGAAAATTTGCATTACATTGAATTTTTTTTTTTTTTTTTTTTTTTTTTGATTATCTAATAATGAGCAATACAACCAGAAGCAGCCATCCTATTTTCCAAGTCCTTACACTCCATCCAAAGGTTTGAATATGAGACTCCAACTTGTATAATTTCATGCTCATAGTAGTGGGGTGTCCCTTAAAATGGGGCTTGATTGTCTTGATTACCAATTATTGTTCCATCAAAGTTTACGCAGGCACAATTTAAACCCTAACTTCAAACCTTGATTCTGGGTTAAGGTCAAGGTTCAAACCTCTGCAATAGTTTACCACCAATTTCTTTCCAGATACGAAGAAAAAAAAGTTTATGTAGGCAATTCAATCCCATGGTTAGATCTTAGACGAGAAAGTACTGGAAGCAACAAGTAACTCAGTATACCTTGAAAATGCAAGCTTGAGGCTTTATGTCATTAGGGTCACCATCTTTATCAACCACATTAAATGTGATCATGATAGGAACTTTAGCAGCTGATTGTAGGGGTATTCCACTATCCACCTGAATACCCCGAACGAGTTTATTAGGAGCAGTTGGTAAATAAAGATCATCTCCCTCCATTTGTATTTTCTCCAACTCCCTGTAAAAGCTAGTTGTTAGCCACAAATTTTAAGATAAAAAACAGCTACCAATATAAAAGCATTAACAACTTGAGATATACCTCCTGATGCCAGCTCGACGTTCCTCCTTTGGAACTGGATAGAGAACGCCAGAAATAGATGTAACTTTGTCGAAGAAGTCAAATTCTCTTCGGAACACATCAAGGGCCATGGGAGTGAAACTATCAATAATACGTTGCCGGACCTTTGGTAATAGTTCTTGAAACTGACTATTCTGGAATGATAGTAAGTATACCAAGTATTAACCAGGGAATGAGAGACCATAACAAAAGATATCATAACATCACAACCAAACAACAGATTCAACAAATGTTTCCATCATAAAAATGATCTTTCCACTTCAAGCAAAAACATACTAATCATATGCAGGGTATACATCAAGAAATTGAGGAGAACACAAAGCTTTAGAGTTTTATGATGATAATAGTGATCAACATCAATGCATTGGAACAAGCATGGTAACTTAGTTCTTACTTGATTATTCATTTGACTGACAAGAATGCCTGTCTTATCTGAAAGAAAATGTTAAGAGATTATGATATTGTCTTTTTCCATGCAGGCCTTATCTCATATATCAGGTTAACTACCAATTTTTAGTCCTGGAGGCTACATATGCAAATGATTTATGTAGTTTTCTTTTTCAAAAAAAAAAAAAGAGGAAAACAAAGAAAAAAGGAATAGTGAATGAATGACTTGAGTTTAACTCATCCAAGTCAACTACATAGCCAGCTGCCAATTACTAGGCAGAAAAAGGTGCTTTCTGATAAAGAGAGCTACCAACACTCTAAATTTCTAATTTTTTACAGAATAGCAGATTACCTCATTTGCTAAGCTACATTGGAGGGCCTTCTCCACAAATATACATCACTAACCAATACTCAAATAGGCAGCCTTCTCTTTCTTTCTTTATGAGCAATAAAGCCAGTTATTATTGTTCCCCTCCCCTAAACATAGGGCATCTAAAACATCTTGCCAAAAAGAAAAGGAACTTAGGAACTTAAAATAAGATAAATCTCTATTAGAAAAGGTTTGCCTGATTTTAATGGATTATCTAAATTGAACAATAGTTTCACATTTTCTTCTTACTCTTATGACAAGACCAAGATATCACTCTTCAACCTCAGTTGGTCCATAGATAACCCTCAAGCCAATGAGTCATTTTAATTTAACTCAAAAATGAATTATCCAGATTTCAAAATATTGGGAATGTTATGAAATTTCAACAAACCATATGGACAAACCTTTCCAGTTGAAGCATCTTTCCCTGGTGCTGGTGCTGGTTCTGATTCAGCTTCCTCACCCTGCCATTCATAAAATCATTACTTGCATATGAATCACAAAATGATTTAATCTAGAGAAAGTACAAGTTTATGTATTCCCTACAAATTCACTTAAGACATACAAAAAAGTGAAGCCATCTTGTGGCAAAAGAAATTCCACACCTGTAGATGCCATATCAGAATATGGGCAAACAAGTCGCTTCTTTGAGCTGCTCTAAGCAAATATCCCTCCACTAACCTCTGCAAAATAAGGAACCATAAATACAAATATTAAGATCTAAATCAGGAAGACAAAGTCCAAACAACAAAACATATCTGATCCACAACTCTAGCAAGAAGGGACAAGTTGGATAACACCAATCCTCAAGTGATTGAAACCCAATACAATTAAATCAACAAATATACTGTGATGAGAAGCTTAAACTAAATTTTATGGGAAGAAGTAAAGGAGAGAGGTAAGATCATATGCAAATTGCTACATTTCCCCACAATATAAGTGTTCCATTTCCATATAATGGTTGCTTAGCCTGTGTGATGTATGTAGTACGGATAACAAAGTTGAAACAGAGGAAAAGAAGGGGAGAATTAGAAGAAACGAGGATGATAGGAAAGAAGAAGCAAAAAGGTTTTTGTGGAAATCTTTATTCAGTTCATCATATTCTACCTAACCCTAATGCATAACATCACTTCATAGATTTCAAAACCCTAATATGACTCTTAATGAAAGATATCAACAATGAACTAGAATGGAATCAATCAATCTAGCCTGGATGTAAATGCCTCACATCAAGCATATACGAATGATATACCCAAGTTTTTTTTGGCCATTCAAACAGATATGATATACCCAAGTTCAACAACCAGTATTGCCATGAAATAATACACAAAACAAAAAATAGGACAAAGAAGCCTTATCTTCATTGATAACTCACCTCGTCATCATAACGCAGAGCTTGCACAAGCTGTGGCATGAAGAAGGTTACTTGTTCAGGAGGATAGGATTCCAAAACCCTCAAAACATAAGCCATGACACGTGGATGCCCCTTATACGAAGGAGTAAGGAATTCAAGAGCTTGTGTGATCGAGCATGCAGCCCAGTGAGGCAATTGTTGCAGAAGAACTGAATTTTCATCAACAGCTTTTGGGGTGACAAAATATGGCAATGCCTGAGGTATACAACGGATACGCAATATATTTGACTGCAAGAAAAAAGTCAATAAGAAAGCACATCAACCAAGATGATGATGTAATATCAAATTAAAAGTCCTACTTTGCACTGGTTATTAATGGGAAAGTGATGAAAATTGGACCAGGGACAGCAGATTTACAATTTCATTCTAAAGCAGTTTATCTGTTAAAATGACTCTACAAAAGCTTAGCTTCAATTCTTTGCCATAAAAATTCCAGCTAGAAAGGATTAGTGAAGTATACCTGAACCAGCTGTGTTAGTTCAGCCTTCAAATAAGAGTTTGCTGGGAATCTTGAGGCCAAGGAAAAAGCAATACAGGGATCAACTGCAAAGGCAGTCCTAACATATTCTATCCATTTCTCTGAGCTAATTTTAGGCCGAGAAGACACACTTTCCCTAAGTATAAAAATATATATTAATAAAAAAAAAAAAAGGAAAAGCAAAGAAGTTCCATTACGAAAACATCTGTAAGACAAAGATTCAAAAATAAAGAAAGAAAAATTAATACTATAAGTAATAAACTGTTGGAAAATGAAAATTACTTCAAGTTGGTAGGTTGTGCCCAAACTTCAAGCCTATCTGCTTCATGCTGGCAAAGCATTATAAGTAGCTGCCTCCGTTTTTCTCTTCCCAAAGCATAGTGTTCCATCTGGCCCCACACAGGGTGATAGTGATCATTCTGCAGAATTTGAGTAGTGAATATTTCTTATAGAATGCAGAGTCACTTGCTTCAGTAGATAACAGATAAAAGAAACATGTTCCCCAAAGAAAGGATGTCCTTTCCAACATAAAATTATCACAACTTAAATAATAATAGCAACTAGCAAGAGATTTTATTTGCTATAAATACAACAATTTACCGCATCAACCAAGGAACTCCCATTCTCCCGTGGACATCCTTTTGGATCAGATTGAAGTGAGTCTACCATCTCATTTGAAAGAAAGTGAACAAAAACAGAGACAGACTGAGCCTCGCTTTGAGCAAAATTCATACTGTTCATTTCATACCATTCAGGCTCGTAAGCAAACCAGCCCAAAGAGGCCCTGTAACACGGATCAATGACAACTGATTACCTTTTCAGAATAATACTTAATCTGAAATTGAACATGGAAATTGGAAAGACATTAAAAGAACTCTTTCAGGTGAATGTCAAACCAATACAACTGATTAGTTAAATAAAATTAAATCATCAACATTATCCCAAACACCAAAAGTATTCAGACTAACTGGAACATTACTTTCAACTTCTGCAATCAAATGTCTCAACAATCAACAATCAAGATGCACAATCAACAATGCATGTTGAAAATGAACAGATTTTAAGCTTTCATGAGGAGTTCCATATGACGAGGTATAGAGCTATGTAAATTCAGCAGGTTTCTGAATCTCCTGGCAGCTTTTTTTATTGACCATGAGTTTCTACAACATCACAGCACAGAGAAAAAGTATATTGACTGTTGAAAATCTAAACACAGGGATAAGATAAGGTCTCAATAACTTCAAAAGAATGCAGATGCTGCTAATATAAAACAAAGAAAGAAGGGTAATCAGGCAGAAATGGGAGAGATGCTAGGAATAAATGTATTCTGACATGGCACAAGCACAATCAAGGAATTGTAAAGAAATGTGCACTGAAGAGACGTCAATGGAAGTCACCTGTAAATTCGATCTTCCAACAGCTGAAGCCCAGTTCTAAAATTCTGCAAATTGCCTTGGGATTGGCATGAGCAGAACTTAAGCCCAAGAAGCATAAAGGTGAAAAAGGTACCAGTGGCTGCAGGATGATGTGAAAAGTTCCAGGGTAGTGTTGTTGTTCCTTGTAACATCCGACCAAGTAGCAAGAGTTGCTCAACACTATTGTGCCGAACTACCTATATAACCAAAACCAGATTGAGAAATGGAGCAACTCAAAATCTTGTAGTCATTTGGTTGGAATACATGCACAAGGGAGGGTACACATGCACATGTGTGTATAAAGAGAAATTGCATGACATGATATCAGTTACTTCCACATCAGATAAACACATTGACTAGGTTGATTTTGAAAAGTTTCCCAACCAACCATTAAGAGTTACGCAACCCTAGCACATGATACCTTTGTGTTTGGGGAAAACTCGTAAAGAAAATTACCATGTTATTCACAAAGAAAACTATTTTACCCAATTTAAGAGGATAAGGTGGAATTAATCCTAAAAAGGAATCATAAAATCATAATTCAGTCTGATAAAACAGCAAAACTATGCCTATTGAAGTAGATTAGTCCCAGTTAACATTAAATATTTAGTTCAATAAAGTTGTATGAGAATCTCAAGCAATATGCGTAGACGTGCTGAATTCAAGGTCAAGTGGAACTATCTCTCAAGTGTTTAAATAATTATTTTCAAATATTAAAATATTCAAGTTTCTATGAACCTTTTCAGATTCACTTTCCTTTTCTTATAAATAGCTGATGAAACAACTAACCAAAAATCATTAGCATAAGAAATTATTCCAATCAAGATAGTTTATTCCCTTTCAACACCAAGATATTTAGTTCCAACCAAGCTTAGAAATACATCAAGTAGCATCCATCCCACATAAAGAATATGAGTTAACTACAAGAGTCCTTTTAAGTGTTTAAAAAACATACTTTTAAATATTGGAATATTCCAATTGCTCACATAAAAAAATAAAAAAAAGAATGATCCAGTTATCATCAACTCTTTTAAGTTAATTTCCTTTTGCCAATTAAATAGATAAAAAATTGGCTAAGCAAAAATTAATACCATATGTATTACCATTTACCAGAAACCAAAAAGTATTGCCACAGACCAATGGTCTCATAACACCATTCTATGTCTCAAAGAAATCCTTGTGACCAGCACATGTAGAATTTAGGTTATTTAGAGGGGAAAACCCTTGATTGAGAGACTTTGTGGAGTAGATAAAAAGAAACATGAATAGTAGACTAAGATAACAAACCCTCTGCCCTATTCTTCAAGTATATATTAAAGTTATTTGACTAACTTTAATAGACAAGACCTCATATCTAATAACCATAACCATAAGGCATGCAATCATATAAACAAACAGAAATACAACTATGCTTGGAGATATTAGAAAGATGCTGAAATGTAAGCTCAGTCTTTCAAAAAAGATATTGGAATAAAAATAAATTAGTTTCAAGGTCTTCTCATGAAGCATTATCTAACATCAGATAACTTATCAAATAAGAGTAATACCCTAGGAAAAAGAATAATGCAAATAACAAGCATAAATACTCCTGCAACTCAAGCAATTAATGATTTACATATCCATTTCCACCAAGGGCAATAAGGAAATGATCAAAAGCTATACCAAAAGAGTTAGAAGCACAAAAAAATCACACTTAACAATGATCTCACCCTCTAGTCAAAAGTGTTCAATAAACTTTGTAGCAAACCAGTTCCTCCTATATGTAAGCCTTAGATATTGAAAATGAAATGGACCACAAAAAAATAGTGATGAGAAAAACGCACAAAACTTATCTGAGCAAGCTACCTTGCCACAACTAGACTTCAAAGAGAAAAGGTCTCAGGGTTAGGGGATCAGGTTGAAGAGCATGCACCGTTTAATACCAGAACACCATACAAAATTCAAAACTTCTTAAGGTACTACAAACAAATAGAGAATACACTATCTCCATTAAGGTGCATATGTTGTTCTATAAACAATGAATATGCTCAACAACAGAGTAATTCCTTACCTCGAAGCGATCAATAAAAAACCCCAGCCACAATCTATGAGCCATTATCTGCTCAACAGGATCAATATCAGGTGGCGTCTCTGGTTCCCCAGGGGCCAAGTGAGGTCTTAATTTTGCTGCAGGCCCAGAGTGCTTCACATCAGATGCAAAAAGACCTCTTTTTGTATCAATTGTCCATAACCATGCATCAACAAGCTCGGCAAGGACAAGGGACCCAAGTTGTGGGGCAGCAGAAACCAACCAAGTCCAAATGAAGATACCAGTTTCCATTGCATCAGGTGTAGATATATAAGCCGGACACCAGCAAAGAAGACGTAAAAGTTGTGAGAAGCCCTCTATATTTGCTTTTGTATCAGTAGCCTGGGAAGGAAACCAAACATTGAGAAGAAGTACAATGGCTCACAATAATGTTCAGCAGTAAAAGTTTGTGGTTATTAAATAAGATATTGCTATACCAGATTTGACAAGAGCAGTGCAGTTGCCTGAGAACAAGTTCCACGGAATTGCGACTTATCCACCTCCCCACCTTTCTCTGCAACGTTAACAAATTGTTGAAGGAGATGAACAAACTTGGAAAGTAACATCCCATTAAAAGAATCATCCTCAGTTTGCAGCTTTTGAGAAAATGCTCCAGAGATCAACCTTTGAAGACCACCTCCAAAACCTGTTTGTGCAGCACCAGGCTGAAAGCCACCAATGCTATTATAAAGCCTTCTCATGCCAGCAATTTCTCCAGCATGGTTGCACTTAACTGTAGCACTGATTACTCCTGTATTCAGGACCTCAAAATTGAATGCTTCTAATACTTTTAGATTTGCCCCAGATGCTGCAGCTGCTGCAGCCATGACTGCAGGAATATTTGCCGTTCGTATACCAGACCAACAATCATTTTTACCAGTACCAATCCTTATCTCAGTTAAAAGGGAGACCACATCAGTTGTATGCTGTGCCTTTTGCCATGTGTTTGCTTTACAAAGCTTTTCCTGAAGTATGTGTACCAAACCACAAAACAAGTAAACGAAAAACATAAAGTAAATAATCTTTTCCTTAAGTATTTGTATTGAACTATGAGCACATTTGATATCACTTTAGTTTTCCAGTTTTATTTGTTACAAGAAAAGGAAAATGAATAGAAGAATTATCTTTGCTTAGGTTTCCTAGAAAATCAAAACCAACAATTGATCCCTAGGAAACCCAGTAAAAACTCATCTAGGTCTCATCCACCCAATCCACCAGAAGATATACAAGGGAAACAAAACCAAAATTAGTTTGATTAGAGTCATCACAGGTCCAACCCATACAAGCCCAATGACAAGCTCAATACAATCTAATCCAGCTCAACTTAAGCCTAGGACAATTAGACCAATCCAACGAAGATTCAACCAGTCTCAAGTCCCAACCATCCATGCCAATTCAAACCTAGTCTGATCAAACCCAGTAGAAAATGTCTGGAAAAAATAAACCAATAAAAATGGTTCTAACCCAACCACGACCTAAATAGAAGCAACAGTACATCAATTGTGGTCACAAATTACAATAAGATGTAACCCTTGGTATGCCAAGGTGACATTGTGCATATACCCATTAATGGGATTACAGCGAAATGGAAACTTGCCAATTTCCCCAAAAAATTAAAAAAGTAATAAAAATAATACAAAACTAAATAGAGGCAAACAATCAGTACGAGCCCAACCAGAACAAATCAAAATGCAATTGAACTAGTTTAGTAATGATCCTTTTACTCCCCCCTCCCCCCCCTTTTTTTTTTTTGAACTTGGAAATTTTAGGGGAAGGGAGCATCAGCCCCCTGAGTTGAACTCAGGACTTCAGAGCCACCCAGCTCATAGACCTGGCTGCATGAGGAATGGACCCTTGGGCCAAGGCCAAGTCCACTTTTATGATGACAATTTAGTTGAAGTTATTCAACAACTTTTGACATTGTTTTACATAATAACCTAAACCAGAGAGGAAGAGAAAAACAACCAACTAAATATGACATTAATTTCGAAATTCAACCAAAACATGTCACCAGTTCTCAGCTTTTTTTCAGTTTTAAGTTTTACCATTTCAGTCTTTGTTTCTGAACTTTTGGACAGAGAAACCCGACGGCCCAGAGAAATTGTAAACAGAACAACAACAACAACAACAACAACAACAACAACAAAAACAAGAAGACTAACCAGCAGCAATATTAGTTAGTTATCCGTGTGTCCATGCTTAAATCCCAGTAAGAAGTACTAATATCATAAAAAAATCAAAGAGAACCAAGCAAACAAGCTGCAAAGAATCAAAAGATCATAATGATAACTTTTGCCAATAATTTTTATTTTTGTCCAGAGATGGGCTTTACTTCATAATCCTTGAGATAAAAATATTTGATATCTTACCATTAAGAAAGAAAAATATATGCATTCAGAAAACAAGAACAAGAAGTAACTAAAACACAATCATTGAGTGTTATCTGGAAGATGACATCATGTCCCAAGCTGGGGATTATTGTCTTAGTTATTTAACAGTTAAGACAGTTAAGTCTAATACTTTGAGAGGGGAAAAAGGGGTGCTGCCAGGTACCGAGTAAATAAAAATAACCGGACAAATGTCAATGCACAAAAAAACTAATTTAGATTGTCCACACAGGATTCACTATTTAGGGTAGGGAGACAAGGGAAACGGGAAGCAATAAAAAAATAACATATAACAGCACTCATTAATAAAGTCAGATTATCAACCTGGAGCAGACCCTGGGTAGTGCATGGAGCATATGAAAGCGACAAGACAATCCATTCCCGAACAATTTTTTGGTATAAAGAGCGAACTGTTGATGCCCAAGCAGGATCACTTACAACAGTGGTAGTCAGTGTATCGTCATGAACAGAAAAGAGCAAGGAGTCAAAACAAGATGAATTCCATAAAACCTGCAAGCATTTTGTTCCACTTGTAGCATAACTGTGTGCAGAAACTCAAAGAGCACAGTATCAAAAGAAAATACTAAGCACCAGTGGAGAAGATTGCCAATGAGACTTACCTGAGGGAATTTATCTCTAAACCGAATCAACAGGTTCACAGTAATATCCCGGATGCATTCGTCCCTCTGTGACATACTTTTGATAAGAAAACAAGCATGTGCAAAAAGAGTTGATTCTCTGGTCTCAGCATCGTCACCTGTTTCAGTTATTCGGTCCTCCTGAATAGAGATCAAAAGATTGTCAATGTTCATATCATAGTTGTTAAAAGCAGTAGGCAGACTAAGCTTTGGGAGGGCCTGGAGCCCAGAAGCAAAGTGAAAAGCAGAAACATCACTCAGGCATGCTTTTACAGAAAACTTGCACGTTAGAAAAAAGGGCACTAGACATCTGCCTTAAGGATGTTGCCTCACCTGAGGTGCTCCTAGGTGATGGCAGTAGCACCTCTAGCCTAGGTACACCTGAGGCTCACTTTTAACAACTACTGGTTCACATCACAAGATTATTGAGAAAGAAGGATAAGCGAACAGCATCATACTCAGAAAGACGGAAACATTTGAACTGTTTATTACAGTCAACTAAGAAACAATTAAAAGCAAATAGTAAGTCCACTGGTCAAAGCTATAATTAATTATAATGCTGCACCATTTTATGCTTAGTTTAAAAGAAAGTTTAAATGACGTTCAATTACAACTGCCCAATGATGATTATGTTCAATAGAAGAGTAAAACAAACTGAAAAAGAAAAATTCTTAAAACCTTCCCAAATAACAAGCACATACCAGCCAGGAAACTGCTGCTTCAAATGCCCTGTGCACAATTGCTTTCAAACACTGAAAGACAGCTGGCATAAGATTTGGAGTTTTCAAGTATTCAAAGACACAACTAAAGGCACTTCTGGAAGCACTCACAGAAGTGCCACCATTAAGGATGCCACCATTACTGCTGAAACGAATTATCTCTAAGAAAGCTACGGCAAGAAGATAGGTTGCCTTGACACCTGCAAAACAGACACAAACCAATCACAAAGACATAAAATAAGTGCTAAGGATCAAAAAATGAAGGAAAGGAAGAGTTATACCAAGATCAATGATATTTGTTAATTCTGTCAGAATGACAAAGGAACAAAATAACAAGAATAATTAACACAAGGAATCACTGTAGAGAATAGGCATCCAATCTGGACACAAGGATCAAAGAATTTTGTCCAACCTGAAATTGTGTTCATTGCAGCAACATCAACCCGCCCACCTAAAGCAGCAGAAAGAGCCACCCTCTGGTTGACAGCTGCCTTTTCGTTGCCACTCCCTCGACGACTGCCAGGATTGTGAAGTGCATTCAGTTCCAACTCATCTTCAAGCCATTTTACGGAGCTAACAACCTAAAGAATAGGAAACAGCTAGTCCAAGTATGAATAGAATTTAAAAAGTTTAAACAGCATTAGCAATCATTGACATCTACAGAGAAATTGTTCCTTTTTTATTCTGATACTTTGAGAAACATTGTTCTATATACAGAGAGTTAGCTTTATGTAATACATCAAACTTCAAATGGATGTACCAGAATGAACTAACCATGACTATGCTTTCGATCATTGAACCTCCCTAACCAGCCCAATAATGAGAAAGTAAAATTCAACATAAACTTACGAGGGGAGGAGTGCCTTGAGCAATATTTTGGACAGCAGAAGACCACAGTGTATTCCACATATATGGCCCACCAACTGCTTGAAGGGCAACATCACTTATGCTTCCTCCTACACTGTTCAATGAAGTGGAAACCGATTTTGCCTGTGTTTGAACCTTCTGTATGGGAGGTGCTAATCCAAAAAGGGCAATATAGAACCATAAGTTGCGAAATAACTTTAGTAGTGATGGTTCAATATCTGTTGTAGGATCAAAATCAGAACATATTTCTGCAACAGCAGGAAGTAAAGGGCCCAGAAAATCAGCTCCACTCCTGCAAAAGGTTGAACATCAGGTACAAAAATTCTAGACATAATGCAAGGAGAAAAACAAAAGGATTTAGAAGCAAGACATAAGCACAGAACTAGAAGAGCACATATAGTTACATAACTAAACCACGCTGAGACAAGACATGAGACATCCAATTGGAAAATAATTTTTTTTGAAAGAGAAATCAACCTTCCACTCTGGGACTCAGCAGCCAGGCCTACATCAGAACACAGAGATAACAAACGATGACGATAATCTGAACGCAGCTTTGCACTCTTGAGGCCAGTGGCAATCAACAGAAATCCTGCAGGAAGAGTCTAGGATGTAATTGAACCAGTGAGCATCATATTGATAAGAAAACCATAAAGCAACCAAAATATTTATTTACATTCAAAAATAACACACACCTCAACACGTTCTGTAGTGGCTTCTGGTGGCAAAGTTTTACTTTCGGCAGAACCAACACTTGACAATTTACTCAAATAACTTCTTGTCAGCAGAACAACAGTCTCGCGATATGACTTCTCAAAGCCTAAACTTGCCATGCGAGATACGGCATCAAGAAGCTGCATTAAATTGAGAATATAACAAAGGAAACTGAGGAATCATACTGCCAAATAAAAAGGAGCAAAAGCTACAAGATAACTGTTAGCTTCACCTCATGATATAAACATATGCAGATAGAAAGAGGGATTTATAATTCACAGACAAAAAATACATGCTCCCGAGAGAAGGTTACATACTCGGATTCGCAGTAGACCAGGAGTTGCAGCATTACCCTCCTCTAAGATCTCAATAAAAAGTGGCAATATCACGTCCAATACTTCAGGCTTGCAGATAGCTACATTTAAATCAGCTAACAGCCTTATTACATTAAGTTGCACAGCAGGAACTGCCTGCTTCTCTTTATCAACCTGAAACTTTCAAGATCAAGCAAGTATATAATGAATGTAAAACCATCAGATAAAAAAGCAAACTGCAAATAGCAAACCATGCATTAAAAAGGCACCAGATATCTAGTGACTAACATTATAGGATTATAGAGTGGACATGGGCATGGCTGCCGCTAGAATTACTATATCATCTCAAATGAAAATAAAATTAATAAATAAACTCCGAGATGAGAGCCTAGAATGCTCTAGCCAAATTTTGAAAAGCCTAAAAACAAACATAAATGAATAAATTGCACAATTTCAAATTAAGCCTACAGCATATTAGGAAACAGCATCAGCACCCTCCTGCCAGGACAGCCAAAGAAATTAGATGTGTAGGCACATGCCGCATACGAATTGGTTGTAACTTGCACCTAATCTGAGAGAATAGATTTATCTACCAACCTGCTCGTCGAAATCATTTCTCTCACGAATACTTGTAGATAATCCAAGGATAAACGTATCCACAGGAGCTCGGTCCTTGGCCCAGCCTGATTCAATAATCTGACAACACGTTTTCAGGACACTCTCATACATGGCCCCCTGGCTGCTGCCCAAGGTATCAGCCTGTTACAAAATAAAAGAAAACTTTTACCTAGACAATTTTTTGGATAAGTCTAAAAGTCAACACGAAAATGGACCTGCACACATGCTGTCAGCACAAGGGGTTTGAGACGAATGAGCAAAACGCGCAGAGGCTGTCCTCCCCTGGTGGTAGCAATTTGTGTAATGCCAGAAAGTAGGCAACTGAACAGCTCCTCACAAACCCTCAATTTTCTCCACACAGAGAGCAAACAGGATTCTGCAGCATCTATCAGCAAGGCAAGAGTCTCAAGAACCAACCTCTTTGAAGTTTTACCATCTGAGTCAAGAGATGCAATACTCTGAATTTTCATCCTAGCAGCAGCTTGATAAAGTGATAGTTTTGCATTGATTCTGGCTTTTAAAAGCGAGCCTTGATCATTCCAGTCCCGCTTCTTTATCTGCCCACAAAATGAACAATAAAATGCCCATCTCAACTGCATTAGCCCTTTCTTTTATTTAGCACTTTCCTTTGCTATAAATTGCAGTATCATTAGTTTGTCATCTCATATTTCTTACAAATTTCAAATAAGATCCCAAGGCAGTACTAATTACCCACTTTATTTTTCCAAAAATAAACAATGATTTATTCAAACTTACCTTGAGAAAAGCAGACATAGACTGAAGCTGCTTCTTGGCAATTAACCTCACTTGCTCCAGAAGCTTTTGATCAATGTGCACTGTGTGCAAAATATGAGCAATCAATTTGAAAGCAACCTCTTGCTTCTCCAAGCTCTCCACAGACTCTTCCTCAAACAAAGCGACCTGTTGCTTAAACATAGCAGCACCTCCATCATTGAATCCAAGATTCACATTACCTAACTGATCAACCCCACTCTTCCAATGAAGGCTCCCTCCATTAGCCACCGCAGACCCTCTTGAGGTCTCATTGGCAGGGCTTGCACCCTCATTGCCCTGTAAATTCACGCTCAACGGCGAGCTCTGAGATGAAGACGTCCCAGAATTCACCAGAATTTGTTCCCTTGGAGATACCGGTACTGACATTGGCAATTGATCAAGAAGGCAGGTTATCAATTTCTCAGCATCTGACAACAAAATTGGAGGAAAATTCTGCGACAAGGCCGACAAGAACGCCCTCGTAATCGCCAAATCATTTCCATTAGCATCACTGTCATTAATCCCGACTATAATCACCTCCCCCATAACCCCTGCAATCTCCGTGGCAAAATCTGGCGACATTTCCCCGCACGACGACACGTACCCGAAGAAATAAACATAAAACGCCGCGATCGCTTCGATGCCGTACGACTGCGGCCAGAAAGACTGCCGAAACGACGACGGAACCGCACGGAGGAACTCCAGCACCACAGATTTCACACGGTTATCCGTCGAATCAGGGCACTTGGAGAGAAACCGCGCCACAGCGAGCACCGCATTGAGCTGGGAACGCGAAACCCTAGGAGATCCGACGAGCAACGATTCCGGCTGCGGGCAACTCGCACAAATCCAGGCAAGCTTATCGGCGAATTGGTTCGGGTTCTTGGCAATCAAGTCACAGAGCTCAACCAATGCCTCCATTGCTGAAACCAAACGCTGGAATTACGAAAACAAAACTGAAATCAAGGAGTCCAAATCTCGCAGAGAGGTCGCAAGATTCATATCATAAATCCAAGCATGTAGGAATGATGTTGCTGTGTTGGAGCTGCTGCCATTGTTTGTTCTTCTCACCTCTGTGTTTTCATGGTTTTCTTGGTTTTCAATTATTTTGTTTGAGTTTTCCAAAGCGTAATGCGGAAATGCAGTTTATTTTGCTCTTGAATCGACCTCGACGCTCGGATCCGTTTCTCTGAGTCAGTGTGCCTTCTCCTGCTGTCTCGCTCTTCTTATTCGTCGTCGTATCAGCAAGGTCACGAGATAGTTGACTCGGTGGGTACTGCTCGCAAGGTCACGTGACATATGACCAGAAAAAGAAAAAAAAAATTGTCACGTGACCTATGATAAAAACGGATATTATTAAGGGATTTGGGAATAACCCGAAATTAACCCTTAACTAAAGTCTTTTGTTCCCGTCTGTGCTCTTTTTGTAGTGTATTTTTTGTTTTAGAATGGTTACAACTTTAGGAGTAGGAAATTCAAAACTTAGACTTTAGATTGGAGGTATATTTACAATATAATTTATAATTAATGAATTAAGAAGGTATTTTATTGTATATTCTTTGTCTTTTGTTATTTTATAAATAAATATATATAATATTATTGAAATTAAAAAATATATAAAAAAATTTATTAAAATTTATAAATATACACAATTATGTACTTTAGTTAGGGAAAGTCAAATGACAATAAATAATAATTTCTCATTTATTAATGTGTTGTTGAGTTGGCTTTCTTGTATAAGTAGGTGTTAAAATAAACTGATTATGGTATTAATTTTGTTTAATTAAAGCAACTATTTTTTTTTTTTCTTTTCTTCTTTTGCTTTACATATCTTATGACAAAATATTAGTTAGAAATCATGTCCAACACGAGTGACCTACTGATCATCCTCTCGTGAAGGATAGTGCCGGAATATCTAAATCTTAATTTTTAATTCAAAAAACTACCTCTTCCTCCAATTTCTTAATGTCAAATAAAAATTAAAAAATTAAAAAAATTAAAAAAAAAAATGAAATCATCCATAAAGAATACAACACGAGAGAGACAAAAGTTTCCCCATTGGCCCAGGAAAGTGGTGGTCGACTGGCCGTCCCCCTGCCAAAGCTTCCTGCTAAAGTGGAGACATTTTTGCAACCAAAGGTGCGAGCACCACTCTTTGCTGGCAGAACTTTTTCCATAAACGCGACAAACTTTCCACTAACCATACAACTCCTACTATTTACAACTTGACTTATATGGGGAGTAGCTTTTTTCAAAACTTGTTTGCAAGTTATTTAAAAAGTTGGTTTTTTAATTTTTCTTTAATAAATTTTATCTTTTATAAAAAAAAAATGGATTCACTTAAAAGAAAACATATTTTTTAAAAATGTCAAACAACCCCTAAGATGCATTTTTAATTATTCATTGGTAAAAAAAAAAAAACACACGCACACTTTCCATCCAATTCATAATTTTTTTTTCAAATTATCCTATCGCATGCTACTCAAATAACACAATGAAAATAATAGATTGCTTATTGCTACAAAATGCAAATGAAAAATAGCAATAATACTTTGAGCTTTTGAGGTTATTTAGTATAGAGATTTGAAATTAATAATTAATCATTTTATCTTATCCACCAATTAATAATTATTATTACTAATATGTAGTTTTAAACTGTTATACCCAACTACTCTTTTATATGCCAAGAGTACTTTTATTCACATACCATTCCTGAAATGTACTATTATGATGAAAGAAAAATCATTTCTCAGATTTAATTTGTATCAATTTCCTAATTTATATATAGATAGCTCATGACAGCTTTCTTTACCTTCTATTGTACATAATTATGTACAAACAATGCTGCATTTCCATTTTCTCCACACACACAAAAAAAAAAAAAAAAAAAAAAAAACTATGTACAAATGAAAGAAAAAATGATGAAATTATTTAATGAAAACAAATGCTTTTGGTCATTCAATATTTTTGAAAAGAAATATAAAAGAAAATTTCAAGTAAAGATTGTACCAAAAAGGGTCAATCAGATTATTTCTAAATTACCATATATACATCCCAATTTCAGGTTTTCCCTTTCAATAAAGTGCTTATTCTACCCAAAATGATATGATTTTTAATATTCCCTTAATGGAGATAAGATCAAAACAAAGAAGCAACAAAAGCTTTTTTCCCCTCATCCTTGTGAAGTGAAATTTCAGAATGTTGAAAGAGAAAGTTCGCTATGAATTCAAACTTTTGGTTTAAGAAATTTCTCATTGCAATATGGAAAGATAAATTTCTCTTTACAATATTAATACCCTTCATTTATTGCCCATCAATGAGATTTAAAAAGGCCTCTTGGCCAATGACAACCAGATGAACACAAAAGGAAATAATAAAGCATAGCCAAATTTCTTCTTGGGATATGGTCTACCCTTCATTGAGGATTATTGCAATGGAGACATCACATATACATTGCTACACAGATCAATTCTTTCAGCAAGAAGGAGAATGGTAAATGAAGGGCCTAATTTTCATTGTAAACAACAGTAACGCTACTAAAATAACAAACCAAATTGAAATCCCACTTTAAAAACCAAATCTTAGATATTCCATGTCACTTGGGAATAAACTCAAACACCTGTCTGACAAACTGAAATCATCCATATATCCCTCCAGAAACAAATGAAATCATGAATCCAAGTCGAGAAATGTTGAAGGAACCAACATCAACGGTAATCAAAAGGGCCATTAGGATCGAGTTGTTTACACAAACCGAGGTAGGTGAGATACAGCACGCGGTCTTTAGCCCCTGTTCGATGGTTCTTGGAGTGCTTGCAAAAATACTTCAACTGCTCCAGAGTGCAACATCCCAGCATTTGCCCCAGCAGCAAAAACAGCCAATTAATTGTATCTTTCTCCTCTGGAATCACCGGCTTCACGCTGTTTGTCTGTTTGCAACGCTCGCATTTCAGCAGAGGCGGATTCATCCAACAAGAAGGAGCCCTGTCGTGCATCGCGCTCATATTCTTCACTATAAACGACCCAACCTCTCGAAACTTCTCTCGCAAGTCGTACTCCATCTCATACTTCTCATCGCACCTCTTGCACTGAACTTCCCCTCTGATTGTGAATATTTCCTTCGATATCAGATATTCCAGGCTGTGTACTGCGGCTCGGCTCGTAGTGGCCCATGGGAATGGGGCGGGGACTGTGATGACCTCCTCCCCGCCACTAGAGTTAATGGCTCGGCGTCCACGCGAAGGAGCGGACGGGCCATTCGCAGAAGCGATTTCTTGGGCGTCGACCGTCACGCGCTCCGCAAAAGCATTGTTGTTCAGAGGATGCGAAGCTGAGAGCTGGAGTGGGCCTGGCAGTACTGGTGTTTGGGAATATAGTGTGCGCGTTGGTGGTGTCGTCAGCAGTGCTGGATATCGTGGTGATTCTGGACAATAGGGAGGTGAAGTTGACGATGACGGCTGGATATGCTGAGGCAGCCGTGGTCGGAATCGCGTTGATTCTGGACAAAATGGAGGCAATGGCGGCATATATGGCGATCGTTGTTGATTCGCCAGCATCTGCGGTCTATACTTTGGTGGTGACGGAATATACTGCAGTTGCTGTGGATTTGATGGCTCTGACGGTGGTGAAGGTGGTGACTGTGGTGATCGTAGTTGTAGCTCTGGTGATTCTGGAAGATGCGGTGGTGGTGATGATGGCACATACGGCGGTAGTTCTTGTTGCCCATACTTCGGTGATTCTGATAAATACGGGGGCGATGACGCCAAAAAGGACTGTCGTAGTGGATTTGACATCTCTGACAGCAGAGACTGCGGTGGTGGAAGACGTAACTGTGACGATTCCAGATTATTAGCAGATGATTCTGGCGAGTGCATAGTGCTAAACCCTCGGGAATACAGCGCCTGCGGTGACGCTACTGGTAGTACTGGTGGCTGTACCATTAGCCATGACGGTCGTGAGTTGGACGAAGGTAAGTCCGACTGCACCGCCTGCCTCAAACATTGTGGACTCGACAGCGAAAGCGTCGGCGATTGAACTGATACAGGACTGTAAGCCGAAGAAGGCGAATCCAGCGAACCATCCTCCTCTGTCGTGGTGCGGCGAGAACAAACCGGCGGAGCTAATCCAAGATCAGTGAAACTCTTCTCCTCTTCTTCATCAAACTCTGGCATCGTTAACTTCTCCGACCTTCCTCGTCGGCTTCCAATTTCCGACGCCGGAAAAGAGATGCAAAGAACTACAGGGTTGGGAGAATCTTCAAATGCAGAGAAATGAGGGATTTGAAGGAATAAGATAGTGATGGAGACGAAGAGAATATATAGAGAGAGAAAATATTTTGAATTTGAAAAGGGGACTATTCAAATTCCGTGCGGTTAGTTATGTCTCGGGGAAACGAATCCTTCCCGCGGGGTTCGGAGGTGATGGTTTGTTTTGGTGGAATATATTTCGTACACTTGGCGGAGTTTAATGGAATAAAACAATTAGCAGAAAGATTGTAAATGTTTCAGATTATAGACACTAATTTTAATAGTAATTTTATTAATGAGAAAAAAAATATTATTGTATTAAGTTTAAAATATTTAATAATAGTAAAGTATGATATGAAATTTTATTTTATTAAATTTATTATATAACTATTATATCAACAATCTATTGATTCGAGTGGAAAGAACTCGATTAACTTAAATAAAATTCTGAATTTAAATATTATAAATAGAAAAACAGAAGTTGATCAAAATTTTTGCATATGGAATCCAACCCAGTTCACTCGATTTTGGATTAGTTTAATAAAAGAAATTATATAATTATTATTAGATATTCAATGTTTTTAATATTAAGATATTTTAATTTTTTCTTTTCTCTTTTCTTTTTTTCTTCATTAATTTAAAGTTTTTTTATAAAAAAAAAGTTAGTGATAATATTTATAAATAATTGTTTATAAATTAACTTTAATTTGTTAAACTATAATAAATATTAATTATTTTATTAATTATTAATTATTTTTAATAATAAAATTAAGATAAATATTTAATAATTTTGTGTCCTAAAACCATTGTAAATTTGTAAATTTGTAGAAGGGGAATTATTAAGTGTAAATTAGGGATTTGGTTTGCATTTCTTGGATTTGAAAATTAATAAGGTACAGCAGTACAATGAACTAATTTATTAGATGGTACTTCAATAATTATTCGTTATCCTCTTAGAAGTTTTCTATTTTTGCCAAACTTAGAAAATTGAATTTTGTGATTTAAGTTAAATTCACGTTTTTTTAATTTACATTTTTTTGTACAATTCACTGAATTATTACATAATTTGTTTCTCATATATGCTCATTATGGAACAAATAAAGGCTTATAGTATTTGGATGCTTGATGTAAGAGTAAGATAATAATGCTCGATCTAGTTTAATTATTGTTTGTTGATGATTGATAAGTGATATTTTTAAGTGTGTTTAGATACAATTTTTTTAAGTTGTTTGAAATTTTGAATATACTAATTTTTAAACTGTTTATCGACATTTGATATATAGTTGTATTTTTCACTAACAATTAACCCATTTAGATCAACATGAGGCATGAATTATTAGAACTTTTTATATATTGATTTATTAAGAATATTTTTATTTTTTTCTAGTAGATCCCGACAATTTAATGGTTAGAATGTTTTGATTTTCTTTGTCCTTTAACAAAAATTAAATGTATAATTATATATATATTGGGAATATCCGGATGTGCACATTCTTTATTGAAAAAAAAAAAAAGCCCATCACCAATTTATTAAGAATATTTTTATTTTTTTCTAGTAGATCCCGACAATTTAATGGTTAGAATGTTTTGATTTTCTTTGTCCTTTAACAAAAATTATATGTATAATTATATATATATATTTTCAAATTCTCTCCAAAGCTCCAATTCTGTAACTGAGGATACTATCATCCATTGGATACAACTAAGGGCACAACCCCCACTTAAAAGTAATAAATAAGGACATATTTTAACAAAATTGTGCACGTGTGACATACATAATCACCCATTAGGCTATGGCCACTATTTATGTTGCCTTGTTAAAAGCTGAAGGATATGATATTTATACCTAAATCTGAGACATGCAGTTTTCCTTTCTTCTCATTGCCTATCATGTTTTCTCTCATTAGAATTGGATTATGATTTTCTGTTTCAATTTGGAGATTTTATTGGATAGAAGTAGGGCTCACTCATGTAGTGGGTGCGGTTATGCATGTTCAACATGTGTACGATTCTCAACTAAATGTGTTCTTATATATAGTAATGATGTAACATATATAGTTATTGTAACATATAGTATTATAAATTTATTATCATAATATATTATTTAATTACTAGATGCATACAATATTTAGGTTGGACCTCTAAATAAAAAGATTAATTATATAATTATATATTACATTTATAAATATATAATATCACATAATATTTTAATTATATCATTTTTTACATTCTTATTTACCATATATGTATAGATGGTGCAATGTGTTTTTGGCAACAGACAATACCCTTATTTGCTACTTACATTGTATAATATCCTTAATTATATTTAATACTAGGAGAGAGTGCATTCTCAATGCATAATCTATGTAAATTTATGTCCTTAGTTTGTGTCCTTATTTGAGACTTTTGCCTTAATTCTTCCCCTTTTGCCTTAATTCTTCCCCTTTTGCCTTAATTCTTCCCCTGATTCTTTTTTCATTTCTTCTTAACCATAACTCATTTAAAAATTTTCTTGAAATAGCTCTACAATGGTAATCACTACATTAAAAAGGAATTGACAATTATTATTGAACGAAGAGTAACACTTTTTTAAAAAAAAAATTCTAATATTTCATTTAGCCTTAAAAATCTTGTTTGTTCATACATGTCATTACACTTAAATTTATTATTATTATTATTATTATTATCATTATTAAGCCAAAAGTGCAAATTGCCCTCATGTTTGGAGTTTAAATCAAATTCATCACTAAAAAATGCCGAGGCAAAACAAATCACTCTCTTACAATAGCCAAAATAAAAAAGAACCTCTTATATTAACAAATTTATCAAAAGATTCAAAGTTAATAAATAATCTTAATAAATTAAAAATTTGAGACTTTACTTAAAAATATCAAGTTCAAACTTTTAGTTAAGATTTAAAAACTTAACAAAATTAAAAATTAAAAAAAATTAAAAACATTATCTTCTTTTGTATAATTATTCATTCCTACGAAACACACGCATAATTCCTCTATTTTGGGCAACACAAGTAGGCCCAAACCAACAAATCACCGAGTACTTAGTACTTACCACTTAGCTGGAGGCCCAATCTGCAACACAGAACAATCTACCGTCCACCCGTCGCGACCTCCCTCTCATCTCTCCCAATCCTCCATCTCCAATTTCGATCCATAGCTTTTCCGGCCAAGTTCCCGGAGGTAACTTACCCTCTTGACCCCGTGCTTCAATTATTTTTCCATTTACCTCAAGATCCCTTCTCTTTTTCTGTCTGGGTCGGTACTTGGTAGGTTAATTGCCCTTAAAATTCCACTGCAAATGGATCTCCCATTTTCAATTTCCTTGAATTAGATTCTTCCCTGCAGCTTTCTGTCTTTTGAAGAAGATGATGGTCGTGTCATTTTTCTTCTCTCTTGTTTAAATTGCAGTTGAAATTGCTTCCGGTTTAGAATGTCCTATATTGAGGTTGGTTTAGGTGGATAAGTATTGCATTAAATTTTTGAACTTTTTAGTGTGTTAACTTATCACCAAAGCAGCCCAGTGGTAATCTCTACTCTGTGAAGCAAAGAAATCTTGGGTTCGGGTCTCATGCTAAGTGGGTAGGAGTCGTCTCTCACTTTGCAATCTAAAACAAAAATATGTTTATCATCAGGAAAATGTGCTGTAAATTCTACAGCTTTCAAGTATTTTGTTTCGATAATTGAAAACATTGACATACATTTTGCACTATATTTCCGTCAAAATCGAACCCTTGATTTTTTTTCTTTTCTTTTTTTTTGTTGGTATTTTCACCAAACTTGCTTAGCTGAGAAAATGCTGTTGGTTTGATTAGTTAAGAGATGATAAAGTGACAAAGCGATAAAGAAGCAATCATCTCATAAAATTCTTCATGTGTTTTATTTTATGATGCAGTTGTGTTGAACTTCAGTATCAGTTCGAGGGTAATGGACAATGTAGTAGATTCCCTTAACAATGCCTATCAAGAATTTGTAGCTGCAGCAGCTAATGTGCTTGAAACTAAAGAAAGAGCTGGTGGCCAGAAAACTGCAGATACAGATGCTGCACTGGAAAATTTTAAGCAGAAATGGGAATTGTTTAGAGTGGCTTGTGATCAAGCAGAGGAATTTGTTGAGTCTGTCAAGCAGAGAATAGGGTCAGAGTGCCTTGTGGATGAGGCCATGGGTTCTGTGGCTGGGAGGTCAGGGCAGGCTTTAACTGGCCTTCCGCCCATCAGTGCTGTTCGATTGGAACAGATGAGTAAAGCTGTCCGGTGGCTTGTGATTGAACTGCAGCATGGTACAGGGACTGCTGGTGGTGCAGGACATTCCAACAGTTCTGCTCCTTTTGATGCTAGGTTCTCTGAGGATGCTGCTCAATAGGTATATCTGCTACTGCTAGATTCGTTAATATGTTATGTAAGGTAGTTAGCTTGAATTTTTGGCCACTTAATGAATTTGGTTTGTTTACTACTCTCAAGTCCAACTATGACACATGCATTCTAATGACACTACCTGTTGGAAAGTATTCAGCTCTTTTGCACAAAGCTGATTGGTACAAAGCTTTTTTTTTTTTTTTTTTTATTCAGCTCTTTTGCACAAAGCTGATTGGTACAAAGCTATTTTTTTTTTTTTTTATTGCTAACCTAATCATAGAAGGGACTGGTCTTTATTTATTTATTTGTATGCCTTGTTTCTGGTCCGACCAAAGAGTAAGCTAAAGCTATCTTATCCTAAGTACCCTTAGGGATTTTATGAAATTCGCTGCTTCAAAAATTTAACCCTTAGTTTTTTGCTTATCACCTGGAGACCAAATCATTGCACCAGACAATGCTCTATCATCAGTAAGATATTGTCTTTGCATCTGTGCAATAAGCTGCTACTTCAATGGTGCTAGTCTTTAATTGAAAATCATATATCAAAAATTGCATGACTAATGCAGCCATTAGCACAGTCCTGCAGTGTATGGAACATTTTTTGAATCATGTTTTATGGTAGTTGGTAATTAATCTTTTTGTATGTCTGACTTAATTTGAATTTCCTATTCTCACACCCTATATTTACATTTTACAAACTTTCAAATTTCATTGTGCCATCCTGGCGATTTCTTCCTCACTTAATATTGTTATTTTTACAGTCCTGCAGTGTATGTGTATGGACACTGACATATTTTTCATCTTCAACCCAAATGTGGGGGTGTTTGACACGGGCAATCCAAAATTGTGCAGTTCACATGGGAGCGTGTATATATGCTCATGTTTTCATACATCTATAATGATAAGACATTCATATTCAACTTTGTTGAGCTTTCACTTGCAGAAAATTGTACAAGAGGCAATGTTTACATAAATAATAATATGTAGGATTATTGGAAAAAGTGCATAAGCATCCTCATGATTTACAAATTCTTTAGGTAAACCATGTTGAAGTGTCTGACATGTGCCAGTTTTTCAATGAAAGAATTGCCTTATGAATCATATAAATATTTTATAGCATATTTATATTTAAGGTAGAGCAATTGTAAAAGTGGTGTTCTGGATATTAGAATTAAGTAGTCCTGTAACTAAACCTTAAGTTAGAACATGATAGGACTTGCAAAAGTATCTGGAACCTTTTAGAATCCAGAAACTTTGGAGGCTTTTCATAAAATTTTCTGCAACATCATGCCACTTCCTTGCAATTAGCGAAAGCAGTTGTGACACAGACATCCTGCAGTTTGTACTAGCAAGTTTATGTTTTCAAACATGCATGTGTTCTTGGTATTATTACTACACTAGATGTTCTGCATGTTCTGCCTTGCATTAGATTAATCTCTTTTACACCTGCCTTACTTTCTCGTACTGCTATTCAGAGCAATGGAGCTTAAGAGCACCACGAGGAGATGAAAGCAAATGGACTTGAATTAGGTCCGCTGATGTGAAGGTTGCAGGCCCCATCTTTCATTGCCACTACCTAATTATGTATAGTCAATTAAACTGTTTGAGTATAGACTCAACAAGGGAATTTTTTTTTTCTTGGCTCTGGCAAAGATGACTTATGAATGTACAGGAGCACATCAATTATGGGTGCTTTTTCGCATTTCTAGCCAAATGGGAGTCAGAGTAGCCTGGTTAGCCTTTATAAGTTCATAACAGTTAATTTTCTTCCTGAGCAACTTGAACAGCTGGGGTAACATGAACATGTTCATTAGACAACAATTTCTTGTCCTCTGGTTTGGAAGGCAGCAATGACATGTTAATGTTCTTTTGTTTATTTTTGTTACGGGATGGATATCTTAGGATTCCTAGTGCTTGGATGCCTTCCTTGCAATTCACTTTACCTCCTTTTCAAGAGGATGGAGTGCAAGCTATTGATTTATTTGGACCAATGAAATCATAAGCTAATGAAAACACTCTTAACATGTGAGTTAGTGAGGAGAAAGGAAAGGAACGCCAAATCTTCTGGCTTAACCCATCTCTCTTTGATTATAATAAATTTTCTTAATATCTTATTCTTGAATATTGTAAAATACAAGAAATTTTTCAATGAAAATTATATTAGTTTACATTCACTTAAATTATAAACATGGGGGAATTTAAATAAGATGTCTTACAATATTTTTTTTATTATTTAATTCACCATCATATGAAGCTAGAGTGATGTTAGATTAAAAAAAAAAAAAGGAAATACCCTCAATGAAAGGGAAAATTGTTTATTTCTTTAAATAAGATGTTCCAATGTAACTTGTCAATTATATTTATTTAATATCACATTATAAATTTATAATTTTATACACATAATATTATGATTATGCTATTCATTTTTATTTTTAAATTTTGAACAGCTTGCTCCATGTCAATGATATAGACTTGGATTAAAATCGTTTACTTTCTGTAAGTGATGTGTTTGAATTTTATAGATTATATTTCTCCTTTCCCACTAAGGGTAACAATTTACCTCAATTCCAATGAAGCCTTACAGGGATCCTCGCCATAAGGGACAAGGCGAGGATGGGACAGAGATAGGGGGTATTTTCTTCCCATAAAATTTCGTAAAAAAATTAAAAATATATATTAATTTTATTTTAAATTTAATTCAATTTTTAAACTCAAATCTAATTTAATAAAAATTAAACTTAACTCAATTTTGCTTAATCTAACCTATCATCAACCTTTTAATTATTTATGTTGGATTAATTTTTATTTATATTTAGATAATTTGTATTTAATTTTATATTTAAAAAATTTTAATTAATTATATTTAAATTTTTAAAATTTTATTTATTATAATTAAATATTAATTAATTATATATAAAAAATTATATTTTGATATTAATTAGTGAAAAATGAAGATTCTCATTCTTTGCTAGAAGCAATAATAAATGGTAAAATTTACCTCGTTAAAATTCCCTATAAAGATCCACGTCGCCGCGAATGGACAGGAAGGACTCCCCGTGCCGTTGACATCTCTATGCCACACTTAAGTAATATATATGTATAACTAATTTCAATATGGTAAAAAATAAAAAGGGAAATATAAAAGGAGATAAAAGGAAATTGGAAAGCATGAGGTTCGGAATAGGCCGGAGGAGACCGTCACGGAAAATAAATATTCTGCATCAGACAGGAAAACAAACATTTATGATTAAAATGGAGAAAGCCGGCGAAGTGGGCCATCACACTTCTCCCACTTTTACCTTTCACCCACTCTTCTCCTCCCTCCATCTGCCATGTTGTTCGATTCTCTCGGTTTATAAAGTTTCCCATCTACCGTTTCAAAAAAAAAAAAAAAAAAGTTTCCCATCTTTTCTGGATCATCCAAATTTTTTGCCTTTTAATTCTTTTCCTTGTTTTTATGATACCCTTTTGCTCCAACCTGCCTTTCCAATTGAATAAAGCAATACCCATTTGCTTGGATTAATTCTTTGTAAAGGTGTAAATTCACTTCCTTGAGCTATTTGCTTCCCCTTTTATTTGTCTTTTTGTATTGCTGTTTTGTTTTTATGCCATGTTTTATGTTCAAAACTAATTGGGGTTCATCTATTATGTGTCACAGATTAATGAATTTCAAAGAGGAAGTTCAATTGTTGCACGGTTGTATTGGTCAAGTATGTGGGTTTTGTTCTCTACATGTATTTATATGATGGGCATCTTCTTTTATCCTTTCACACATTTTGTCCGAGGGAGAATACTCACATCATGGACTATTATATCAAAGTTTTTCCCTCCCTTTTTTTGTTAGAGGAAACCAAATATGTCATAATTTGAGTAAGTTTTACATTCAGGGGGTAGTTTAAATGTAGATCATGCCAATAAATCTTAGCATTTCATTCCAAAGCTTAAATGCTGTTTAAAGTTGGTTCTTTCATATTATCTCTTGCATGAAATGGTAGTCTGGTGTAGTTCACTATGAATTTGCTTTGCTGTCAGGGCAGATGGGTTAAAAGTCAGAGCTTTAATATTTTGAGGGA